TTGTCACATCATCTTGAAATACAAGATTTTTACATGTCACACCCCAAAACCGATAACGGCGGAATTCCTTTCGGGGTGGATGACGTAGTGTACAGTATCATCACAATTGTATAATAGTAAAAGCAAGAAACATACAACCATTTCATTTACATAGTAAGTGTATTTACAAGTGTGTTTTGTAATGTTTGACCAACACCAAAAGTAAACAAAAATAAGAGATGGGTCTTGCATCCTCCATCATCTCCAAAATGCTGCGGCTGTACCTGTCTATCTTTGACCTGAAGATACAAGTTATTTTGAAAAGAATATCAGCATAAAGCTGGTGAGTTCATAAGAGTTTAGTGTGAGTACTTGTATAAAAAGCATTAGAGTCATTAGCATGAAAACTGAAGTTTGAAATCATAAATAGTGGTAAAACCTAGAAAATCCTGTATTTTCCAGAACTGTATAGTAAATGAAAATCTTTAAGAAATATGTTATTTCTATCTTTGAATGCCATTTATCATAGAAGTGTAATAGTGACTCACCATTAAGTAATGTAATATAGTGAGTTATTCTTGGAGTATATAATAGTGGTGCAGCATCCTTTAGTATTAGATACTTATTTACTTCGGGATATTACTTCATCTTTCTTTTAGTATTTTAGTGCGGTTATAGTGTCTTTCTTGTATGTTCCCAATAGTGTGAGTAATAGCGGACACCCATGACCTTCCCAGTCATGCATAGTGTAGTAGAGTAAAGTCATCCCTGGGCCTGAGCGGCTCGGACTGAAGTTATCAGTCGGGATATAATAGCGTCTGCCCCGTATAGATCTATACATATAGTGTTGTCTTCCTATCGGAAAACTTCGGGCGTAGTGTGTAGCGTATAGAGTATCTCGTAGTGGATTAATGAATTATCTCATGATTAGTACATTCTCTTGTATTATAGTGTAGTAGTTGTTCGTATAACTTGTATTGTATTCTCTTATTAGTGTATTGCTTCATAATAGAGAGAATTATAGTAATGTAGAGTAATAGTTGAAACAAAGGATAGAGTCCTTAACTATACCTATTATAGTTAAATTAGTATGTGTGGTTCTAATCAGGTTAGTAATTTAGGTATTTAATGAAATAAGAAGTACTCATAATCCGTACTAATATACGAGATATATAACTAAGAAATCAATGACAGTCGGACGGATAACCACTACCCTAAGCCCACAATCAAACAAGAAACAGGAAATAAGGCGAGCCATCAGTCCTAAGTCCTTCAAGTCTTACTTATATAAATATATTAGTATGATTACATTCTTATAAAGAGTTTTATTAAACAAAAGTATTGTACGAAAGAAACATTTAAAACTTGTTTGTTAATCCAAGATAGTTTTGAAAACAATTGATTTATTTATAAAGCATAGTGATAAATCACATGTGATTTGAACTACAGGTTGTGAATCACATGTGATTAATTCTGAAATCTGAAAAATAATCTTGTATAACTTTTTATAAACATGTATATTCAACTTGTATCTCCCCCCTAAAACATATAAAACATTTGAAAGGTTCATTTAAGGGGTATGAACTCACCTGAAATCGCGGAAATCGGGTGAATCGGGTAAATGTGTCGATTGAGCGTTTGGTACCCAATAACCACTTGAGCACCTCCTAGGACCCTAATGTCATATGAAATATGTATTTTACAAGAAGTTAATCATCTCATGCTTTTCATTGTAGTATTTGGACATTCTAGCATCGTTTTCGGGGTTTTAAGGCCTAAAAAGGGTTCCCGGGAGTGGTACAAGGTCATGAATGATTTACGGGAGGGTCCACGAGCTCACTCCCTTGGAGTTTATGGCCCAAAGGCCATCCTTTGGGAGTTTACGGCCGTAAGCCCCCTAGGCTTGGCCGTAAACTCTTGTGACACTCCAAAATGTATGATTAGGGCCTTATTTCACTTCCTTAATTTAATGGTATGTGTCTTGGACTATTAGAAGGGATTAAACATCATAATTTGTGACATTTTTGGGGAGTTTACGGCCAAGACTTGTTCTTGGGCCGTAAACTCAATTAAACCCTTCAAGATGTATGTTTTAATGGTACAACAAAGTCTCATACACCTTAGATAAATCCTAGAAGGCCCTATAGTGAGTTTGGGACAATTTGGCATACATTTTTGGGGAGTTTACGGCCCAAGAACATCCTTGGCCGTAAACTCTTCATTTTGTGCTCAAATGTGAAGTTTAATGGTACAACACACTTCCAAAGGCCTTAGCTAAAATCCTTACATGCATTTGAGGGGTTTTGGGACTTGTTTGACCCAAAAATATGGGTGTTTACGGCCCAAGCTTAGCCTTGGCCATAAACTCCTCATTTTGCCATCAAATGATGTTGTTTGATGCATTTAAGCCTTCCTTGTTGTCAAGTCTAAATTGCCAAACACCCTAGATGAGTTTTTGGGACATTAAACAAGTGTTTTTGGGGTGTTTGAGGTGTTTACGGCCTAAGCACATGCTTGGGCCATAAACTCCTTTTTACATGTCAAATCCTTGTGTTTTAGTGTCCAAAGTCCCCTAGGTTTATGCCTTAACTAGTCCATAAGCTTAAAGGAAGGAAAAACAAAGTTTTTGGCATGATTTTGGGGGTTTACGGCCTATGAAGCTTCTTAGGCCGTAAACTCCTTTTTGGTCCTTGATTCTTATGATTTTGGACTCTAAAAGCAGTAAAGTATGTTTAGATTAAGTTAGGGGATGAATCCTTACGTTTGGAAGTCGGAAATTCGCGGATTTGGAGTCGATTTCGGGTCTAGAGAGAGAAAGTAGTGAGAGAGAGAGAGGTGAAAGTGTGGTAAAAGAGTTCAATTGTAGTGTTCAAGCGTTTTTATATGTCTCGGGTATTGTACCCGATACACGGCTACCCGATGCTAAAGTTTAACGGGGTTAAAACTTTTTACCCGGGTGAAGTGGTTGAAATAGTAATACAACTCTATTAGGTTAAACTAGGTTAACACGTACAAGTTATATTGCTTATAATGATCTTAGGACATGCATGTAATTAGATATTCAGATATTGATGATTCCAAATATAACATAAAATAACGTATGTTGACGCATTCCGTTAGTGAAAATGGGATTTGTAACGGGAATAGATTTGGGGTTGTCACATCATCCCCCCGTTAGGGGAATTTCATCCCGAAATTTTAGAATTCATACATATAAGAATTACAGTACAACTACGCGAAGAGATGGGGGTATTTGAGTTTCATTTGATCTTCGCTTTCCCAGGTGAATTCCGGTCCTCGCTTGGCGTTCCACCGAACTTTCACAATTGGGATACGGCTTTGCTTCGTTCGTTTTACTTCTCGATCCATAATTTCCACGGGCTCTTCCACGAAGTTGAGGCTCTCATTGACCTCGATCTCGTCAAGGGGAATTACGAGTGTCTCGTCTGACAGGCATTTCTTCAAGTTAGAGACGTGAAAGGTAGGGTGTATGTTGCTTAGTTCGTGAGGTAGGTTGAGTTTATAAGCTACGGGGCCGATTCTGGCGAGAATCTCAAAAGGCCCTATATACCTTGGGTTCAACTTTCCACGCTTTCCAAAGCGTATCGTGCCCTTCCAGGGTGAGACCTTCAACAGTACTCGATCTCCCACCTGGAATTCCAAGGGTTTTCTTCGTTTGTCGGTGTAGCTTTTCTATCGATCCCTAGCGGCTTTTAGTTGTTCGCGTATCGGTACAATCTTCTCGGTCGTTTCTCGAATGATCTCCGGACCAGTGAGAGAGCTATCAGGAACTCTTTTTTTAGCTAGTTGAGTGTCACCCACCTCAGCCCAGCACAGAGGGGATCTACACTTGCGGCCGTAGAGGGCTTCGAATGGGGCTGCCTTGATGCTCGTATGATAACTATTATTATAAGAAAATTCCACAAGAGGTAAGTGTGTGTCCCATGACTTACCGAAGTCAATTACACAAGATCGCAGCATATCCTCTAAGGTTTGAATCATCCTCTCACTCTGTCCGTCGGTCTGCGGATGGTAGGCTGTACTCATGTCCAGCCTCGTCCCTAGTGCTTCTTGCAACGATTGCCAGAACCTAGAGGTGAATCTACTATCTCTGTCTGAGATAATAGATATAGGGACGCCATGTAGTTGTACTATTTCTTTAATGTACGTTCTAGTGAGTTTCTCCATCTTGTCCGTTTCCTTGATAGGTAGGAAGTGTGCGGACTTAGTCAACCTATCGACAATAACCCAAATAGTATTTAATCCACCCGCTGTCTTAGGAAGTTTGGTTATAAAGTCCATTGTGATCCGCTCCCACTTCCATTCTGGTATCTCAAGTTGTTGAAGGAGTCCTGAAGGCTTTTGATATTCAACCTTGACCTTCGCGCAAGTAAGGCACTTACTCACAAAAGTGGCGATCTCCGCTTTCATGTTTGGCCACTAGTATAGCTTTTTGAGATCCAGATACATCTTATCTGAACCTGGGTGGATGGAGTAGCGAGTGTTATGCGCTTCCCTCATAACCAAATCTCTAAAACCTCCATGGCGTGGAGTCCAGATCCGGTCCATGAAGTAGTAGGCTCCTTCACCCTTAACCTCCAGATTTGGTCTTTCGACCAGTATACTCCAGACCAAATCGGTGAAGTGGTTGAAATAGTAATACAACTCTATTAGGTTAAACTAGGTTAACACGTACGAGTTATATTGCTTATAATGATCTTAGGACATCCATGTAATTAGATATTTGGATATTGACGATTCCAAATATAACATAAAATAACGTATGTTGACGCATTCCGTTAGTGAAAATGGGATTTGTAACGGGAATAGATTTGGGGTTGTCACATTACAGTGCCTTTTTCTCCAGTTATGATTACAAAAAAGGTAGAAAATCCACAGATAAAATAAGAGAATTCTCTCTCATTGGGTTACTTTTACAACTCATCAAAGAAGTTGAAGTTCTCTCACAAAGGCTCTCTCGATCATCATCTTCTTTGTCTTAAGTTCTTCAAGATTTCATCATGTCAAAGGTTCTATACGTCTTTGCTCCTAATGCTAATGTATTCAAAGGTCCCCATGCTCCTGATACTCCTATCGTTGTCCAAGCAAACAACATTGGCTTCTCATATATCATCCCAAATCAATACAAGAACTCTGCAATTGAAGATTTTGACAACTACGTCAAAAACTGTCCTCTTCACTATATATTCTGTGATTTTCCGGAGCCGTTCTACCCTAAGCAAGTATGTGAGTTTTACTATTCTTGAACTATCAATACTAATGCTCACACCATCTTCGCAACTATTAGAGACGACCATTCTATGGTTGTTATCAAGGCAACCTCTTTTCAACTGGCTCTATGTATTCCTCAATTAAACAAATACTGTGAAACTCCTTCTTAGGAAAAATGTAGGTTTATTGACCCAAATTAAGGTATAATTTCTCTCTTCAGGGTACTACTCATGATCGAACTAAATATACTCTTCATCAATGCTATTGTTCCAGGTGGAAGTATTTGAAAGGGGTGATTGGCAAGTATCTTGGACATAAGACTGGTAGTTTAGACCAGTTGAACCTGTTTGAGCAATAGATTGAGTATGCCCAGGCCTGTAAAAAGAATACTGGACTTTTCTCAACTTTTCTTTGATCAACTGGTTGAATGCATCACCGGGAACAAAAATCCAACCTACGTTCCATATTCTTGTTGGCTTGCATTAATCCAGGCTCATACTAGAGAGGGTTACAATGTCAACCATGAAGTTTCCATACAACTTCTAGTTCTCTCATCAATATTATCAATGCTAGCCCCATTGATGCAGATATGCATCTTACTCAACATATGGATGATTGGGTTGCAATTCTTTATATAGTTGAATCCTCTGAATATGATGAAGAGTGTGGCGAGGGAAATAATGAAGATGAAAAGGATGATGTTGATGATGAAGAAGATGAATTTGATGTTGATACTAACACATTAGACGCTGATATGAGAGAGGATTTTGCTTAGGGAATGACAATTAACTCTCCCCCAAGATTAAAACAGCATATTCATTTTACTTCGTCCTCTCATTCATCAACAACTCCTTCTACATAAGCTATAACACAAAGTGGATCATCCCCACCTCCAATGGAAACCATTGATCCACTGATTCAAGCTATAAATTTTCCAAGGCCAACATCTACTCCTATTCAAGCTGCAATTGTCTTTCCAATGCCAATTCCTCTACAACCTACTGCTGCCGTTTAGGGGGAGTCTAGTCCGGACTTCCAAACGACTGTGCTCTCTCATCTCTCCTTACTGGTTCAAATGTCTCATTCACTCAGAGAAATACTGACAAAAGTTAAGAGTAATGTGGCTGACATCAAACATATAGTGGCTTCGATTGATGATGGCGATGAAGAAAATCCTCCTAGCTCTCCAGGAAATGATCAACCACCTCTACCACCACCACCATCTGGTAGTAATCCACCTCCACCACCATTTGGTAATAATCCTTTTACCATCACTATCTGGTAATAATCCTCAACCACCACCATTAAATTCCTCTCCTTGCACTCCACCTCATAACCCCCTCCCTAAAATGATGATGCCAAAAAGGGGAGAATCAAGAACTAGTGATGATGACTGTAATTCCATTTCAGAATGAACAGTGTGAATCAGAAAGGGAAGATAATCAGGGAGCAAAGGTTGTTTTAGTATGAACCAATGAGTAATGATTAGCCTAAACCAGAAGTTGATAATGATCAGTCTGAGACTGATAATCATGATTATGAAGGGTTTCTTGATGTGGACTTCATGGCATAGAACACTATTCCTCTGAGGGTTGTTTATCCTAATGCATCTTATGAGTGGTAGAGTCCTCTGGGAACTCGCAGTGACATTGAGTCTGATGATGATCAAGTCAATCCAAGAAAAAGAAAGGCTTCTTTTTTAGGGGGATCAAATGACGCTAAAGCTGGAAGTTCCTCAGCTGTTGGTTGCTCTTCAGTCCCTCCTCCTTCTAAAAAAAGAAAATTAACGGTTTATTTGGAAGAATTGGATCAGAACTGACAAATGACCATTGAGGAGGTCAAAGAAATCATGCTCGAGCATAATGCTTCAGCTCGAAAAAGAATAGATGAACGTCGATCCATCAAACTTGTTAAGATCCTTGCCTCAGTTGATGAAAGGATTAATGTTCAAACAACAAATATGTAGCATTTCAATATCGATGATACCAAACGAACTAGGGTTTCGAAGTTGAATGATCGAATTAACATGAATAAATTTTTAGATGTTCTAGCTCGAAGATATAAACTTGATCCCATCAAGAAGTTGAATTTAGTGCCTTTAGCTAGTCCATCTCAGTCATCCTCCTTAGACAGAACAAGCAAGCCCAAAGTGTCCATGTATACTAAGTTCCTCCTTCAGTATGACACTATCTAAATAAACAACAAACTGCTAGTAGGTGTTGAGCCAGTTCAACACATGTTCATTTGGGAACCAGAACATGGTATCTTTTATCTTGATGGTCAAAATCAAATATGCTTTCATAGCACTAGCGATCTTCCTGCTACTACCACTGAGCATCTGTTCAATCTTCGTTTGGAGGGCATGAGTCATAAAGAACTAGAACGAGGCTATCATGTGTTGATATCTATTGAACTCAGTAAGCATGTAGCTGATCTTCATCTTGATGACTTTAAGTGGTTGAAACCTAAGATTTTGACAGAATTAGAAAAGTTCTCCAATGATGATTTTGATGACTATTTTGTAGATTAGTTTTGAAATTATCATATAGGGGATATTATAAGGTCACACTTTATGTTCTAATGAGTCAAACAGATAACACGTTGTCCACCAGCGCCAACATTAATGCTAGCGCAAACAACAACGTCATTAGCAACATCGTGATCCTCATGATCTTAGTGATCGTTTGTGTATTAGGTAGATATACTCTTCAATTTTATAATAGATATCTGATTCGTAATCTTAATGATTAGGATCAGACCTTACATAGATTAGAATATATCCCTAAAATCGTGGGATCTCCTTTTTTGTAATTGTATATTCCTATTAGAGTTAAACCCTAATAGAGCTTTTTGCCTTGCTTTGTGCGTTTTTTTCTTTGTGAGAAGCTTTTCTTAGTGAAAACATATTTGTGATCATCCTTGTTTTTATGTTCTTTTTTACTCTTTGTTTGTTCTTCATTATTCTTACTTGAGTGTATCCGATCAATACAAACTTTCATGTATAATGGGTGGAAATGTCAAAATATCCCTTGGATTGAATCATTTTAAGAAACAAATGGGTCTTACAAGTATAATATCGTTCACAACATTTCACCTCTAAACTCCAATTAGCACATCAAAGAAATGTACATATAGAAATAAGACTTATACGAAATAATTATCGCAGTTGCAAGAAAAATGCAAATACAATAAATGGCAGTTGTTTACTGTTAAAATAGTACTATATATATATATATATATATATATATATATATATATATATATATATATATATATATATATATATATATATTAGAAATGCATATTTATTGATAATTACATGATTAACTAAGTAAAGAGTGAAATTAAACTTAAATGCTAATATGATAGAAACAATTTTATGGAGATGGTGTTGAAGTTGTGTTTAACCTTTTTGGATATTATTTATTTTCCTTTTAGAATTTAGAATTTTAAGTGAATTTTCAGATTGTAAAAATAGCTATCTGTTAGGTTAGATACATAAAAGTTTTACATAATAAATGTAATGTGCCCTTTGAAAATTTATTAACCAATACATTGTGAGTTGGGTTTCCAACTAAAAATAAAAGGAAATAAAACGTTTTAATGTGAAACATGAAAAAGAAAATTAAAATTTTCTAGTTGAGCTTAATAGGAGAAGTCTATATGTGACCTTGGCATGAATAAAAACTCATATAAAAATATATAAATCTTCCATAAAATTTCATAGACTCTTTTAGTGGTATTTTGAAGGAAAATATCTAATATCCAAAAATATTTCATAGAAAGTTACGAGCTAATGCTAGTCAATTTAGCAATGTGCAATCATGTAAAACAAAAGGAAATAAATATACCAATGAAAGTGGAAAGTGATATCTAAAAAAAAGCATCATTCAAGGATAGTAGCAAAAACTTGAAAACATAGCTATATGACCTTGAGGTGAGAAAAAACAATTGAAGGGTGTAGTAAATAAGTTATGCAAAAATAATAAGTGTCTTATCTAAAAGTTTGCTTATTTACAACTAGAAGATTTGTTTCGATTATTAGAAGGACCACATTTATAGTGTTGATCATTGAAGGTTATTGACATGTTTTTTTAGCATTAATAATAATTGAGAATTTAAGAGAAATATCTAAATGAACTTAAATGATTGATAAAACTGCAAATTTTGTCCCTATGGTATTCAAAAAACTTTGGATAGGGTCCAAAAAGTTTTCAACTTGCATGGACCGTCCAAAATCAAGAATTTACTGTGATTTTGGTCCAAAAAATTTTGAAAAGATGGTTTTGGCCTTTTATTTTCTTTTTTGTATTTTTTATAATCATTCTAATACTTTTTTATTTTAAAAATAAAAAGAATAAAAAGAATTATCCCCCACCCCACCCACTCGCACCGTTCTCTCTCTCTCTCTCTCTCTCTCTCTCTCTCGTAAAGCCTGTTCGTATCCAAAAATATGTTCTTCATTTCTAAAGCCTGTTGCAAGAACAGACATACACATCTATTTGATTTTTGAATCTATTTCTACAAGAAGTACATCGTTCCAATATTAGTAACACATGGATCATAGATGCCACAATTCACCGCCAATTACAAGTGAAAATGTAAATCATACCTAACATCCTAAATCAAATCTAGCCACATCCTTTGTGGGAGGGAAGTTTACCTGATTCGCCTCCATTGAATAAAAAGTGTTGAGATCAAAAATCCGATTTTTAGAATCTAGAAAATCAGTAGGAATTGAGGGCAGCGAAGGGAGCAACTATCCATACTTTCCCATAGTTAACGGATTGTTGAGAAAAGATGACATATCTTCGGATTCAAGTGAAGAAGAAGAGGAAAAAGAGCGATCGTTGTTGGTTCCGTATAGATCCGCCATTACTTAACACCAACAACAACCCACGCCAAATTGGTTGAACGCAAGGTGTATTTAGATCTGGTTAGATTGTATAAGGCATCGGTGATGACATATGGTCGATTTGGGCGTTGGTGGAAGTTAGAGTCAAGAGAGGCGTGACGAAGGAGATGAAGTTGCATCGTCGATTTTGCCTTCGATTTTCCCTATTTTCTCTCCAATTTGGCTGAATGCGGAATAGGAATAGACATGAGATGCCAATTGAATCTTCTACTCCTCTAGAAGTTCGATAGTGCCTTCTAGTTGTCCCATTTAGCCTCCGATTCCTCCAATTTTAACTTTTGGATTCCATATGAACGAAAGATTCCTCTATGAGCTATCTGATGAAGTAGCTGTTAATTTCGACGCTCTTCACACCCAAAATCACGAAAAGCCATTGCTACAGCTCCTTTAGATCAATAATCATTTGTATTGGAAGTTTATCTTCAAAAGTAGTAAACTTAGGATTTAACCTCCATCAAAAACTAATCAGAAGACAACCACCAAGGTTGTACAACACAATGCAGTAGTTTGAATGTAAACTATTCAAGTTCTAAATTTCTTTAAAATTTTTGATCAACAGAGAGAGACAGGTAAATGAAGAGAATATTAATAAAATGTTGGATTTCATTTTCACCACCACCAGTGATGATAAGCAGCAGGTATGGACAATTTTAATGCCCCCAAAGCCTACTTGTTCGTGTCACTTATCTCAAATCAAGATGATAGATGGTGTTTATGAAACTCATATGCACGTGACCAAAGAGGTGTCGATATTTCTTATTCTAATTGTATTCTGATGATTCATGGTGCCATGGAAGCTTCAATGTTTCGTAAACAATGTGTGTATGCAGTTTAAATTGCAGGTGAAGTGAGGTGAGGTGAGGAAGATGAGGAAGAGAGAGAGAAAGAGAGGGAGAGAGAGAGAGAGAGAGAGAGAGAGAGAGAGAATGGTGCGGGTGGGGGATAATTCTTTTTTTTTTTCTTTTTTTTTTAAAACAAAAAGTATTAGAATGATTATAAAAAATACAAAAAAGAAAATAAAAGGGCAAAACCGTCTTTTCAATTTTTTTGGACCAAAATCACAGTAAATTCTTGATTTTGGACGGTCCATGCAAGTTGAAAACTTTTTGGATCCTATCCAAAGTTTTTTGAATACTACAATAACCAAATTTGCAGTTTTATCTAAATGATTAAAGTTTTGCTTGGGGAGGCAAGTATGAAGAATTTTGCTGTGTCCTTATATATATATATATATATATATATATATATATATATATATATATATATATATATATATATATATATATATATATATATATATATATTAAAGGACATTTTGGATACTTTTATGGATACTTTTATGGATATTTTAGTGATTAAAACATGACAAAATATGCTTAATTGTTTTATATTTATGCCTTACAACTTAAAAGGGCATAGTGATGAAATAGAAGCTAAAAAAAGATTGATTGGAGTTTATTTTCATGAAGTATTAAAAAAGAAAGACAACGGGAGGATAACAAAAAAAGGAATACAAAGACTCTAAAAATAATTACCGAATTTATAATTTTGCATCATGATTTTATTATCGTGCCACAGTTTCGAGTTGGTCAACAAAACTATAAATAGACCCTTAATTTTGACAAAATGGATATTAAGAGGAAAAGTATCAATAATCTAAGAATATCACGATCAAATAAAGCTGCTTTGAGGGTCCTTAGGCGATATCAGTGAGAAGGCTTATATGGTTAACTCTTTGATTTCTTAAATGTTCTTTTTAAGATTTGGGATCATACACTTTATGAATATTTGATATTTACGAAATTCTAGTTTTATTGTTGATTGATATTTGAATATTGAGAAATTGTTTAATATATTTTATTTTCTTTGGTTAAAGATCCATAAATATTAATATTGGTATTGTT